CTGGCGGGGGAACACGAGGGATAATCTATAAATATAGGCCTACCTACACCGCACACTGGAGACACACCAGGTTCTCCATCTTCCCCTGCTCCTCTTAGCATCAATCGTATAATCATACAACAGTTTTTCGCCCCCATAAGCACTACAAAAAGATATTAAGAAAATAGTTGATAATCCAAAATTAAAAAAGGGTACGGAAAATAAAAAGAACGACTTCATCAAACATAATACTCTACTTAAGCCCATTCATACTGACAAAAAAAAAAACATTTTGCAAAGTCGAGATCTCCTGAATCTGCTGGACTGCACCCCAAAGACACAACAGAAACACAACACACAAAATTATACACCTGTTAGAGAAAGAAAATGTAATACACAAAACATCTAGTGGGAGCGGGGGGGGGCCCGAAATATAATATAGCGGTTTCAATGGGTATATTCCAACGTGCAATGATAAAATTAAAAGTGTGGGGACTGAGTAGTCATGTTACAGCCATGTATATCAGTGGGTACCAAAAAAAAAAACCCAAAAAAATATTTGAAAATAAGGATACCCATTATTGACACTGACAATAAACAAATTGTACAACAAGTCTTGTCAAAGCCCTGAAAGGCTGATGTGAGGAAATACTCACTCCTGGTCTGGTGAACAAAATAAACCAAAAATAAAAAACCCACTGACAATAACTCTGATACATGTCCCACTCTTGATTTCCACTAGCCACAAGAAAATACCTTCTCCTGAAAAGCAAACTGAGCACTTGATGCTTTTGGGGGGTTTTTTTCTCCCTCATTCAAGACAAAAATTCTTGTTTGAAAATAAACTACACAGTCTTGAAAAGTAATGTAAATCTTGGAAAACAATAAGGGGAACAAATGGCAAGTAGTAAACCTGTGAGATCCAAAGAGCAGCAGCCACAACAACACACCCACATGGGAGACTGTAGAACGAGGAAAATCACAGGCTCATACCTACGGTCACTTTCTTTTCAAAAAACCCTCTTATTTGGATTTGAGCATCAATGTTCAATAGAAGGCAATATGCCACTATAATGCCACAAAGTGGGTATCCATTCTATCCCCGAGCGAGGACATAGCCTCACCCCCACCATAAGTTCCTTTTTTTTTAAAAGCAGCTGTACCCCAAAGACCACCTGCTGCAACAAGGACAGATATGTCTGTCCCTCGGATCACAGCCCATGACAAGGGACTATAGGCAAACTGACTTCACTTCAATTACACACAATGTCTTTGCCACACACAAAAGAAAATTAAATTAAATGACTCGAGACATTTTTTACTCACCCTATAAAGCAAGGATTAACAGAGCTACTTGTTTTTCTTACAAAAGCAATGGCAAATGTGTATTTGAGGTACACCTACTTCAAACTTCCAGCATTATTTTCACAACAAAATGTCACATCACATCCAAAAATAAGCCACAATAACATAGAGACATCCAGCCCATACAGCATGAAATAAACTACCGTACACACACACACAAATAAAAAAACCCAACCCAAAACAAAAGCTTGGAACATTGGATACTTATATATTACAGGAATATCTGGAAAAATGTAAGTTCCTCCTCCCGCTTTATGAGTTGAGGTTTTGATAATTGTAATAGTAACAATAGATAGCATAATTTGTACAGCGCAAATTCCGGCTCAACAGCAAGTTCTCTGCGCTGTACAATCTATAATTACATGTCCAGTCGGAGGCCACAACCAGTCAGCACAAGGGCCGGTCACTTCATCGAGATCATTCTTCTGCGAAGCGACCTTTGACCAGTGCATTGAGAAATCTAGTATTGCAGCATCCACAGCGATATTTACAATTCCGTGAAAGGTCTGGCAGAACTAATCATGCCATAATTTAACAGATAACACAGTTGGGTGTTCATTGCTTACACGGAAAACGGACGAAAAAAACTTGAATCAAGTACCTATTGATAGTTTCAATCACACTCATAAAAAATGTCTCCCCCTTAAATACTTTTTTTCAAAACGGTGCAGGCATAAATCTGGCCTAGACATTCCAAAAGTACACAATACATACAGCGGTCTCATTCGCAATATATTATAGATAATTTATCAACACGTGTAATGTGATATAATAAGCATACAACAAACGTGCAAGACGCCCCAACCTGCCACCCCTGGAGCCCCGTGGCAGTATGGCAGAGAAGAGAGGCCAGTGGTGGCTCCTCTCGTCCACGGAGGAAAGGCACAAAGTGTGAAGCCAAGCGAGGGCAACAAACACTTAGGAGGCGGGGACCAGTGCCTTCCTACACCCTACAGGCCTTCACAGAGACGGCTCGGCTGACCTAGGAAAGACGCCGCCTCCACCACGCCCACTCTCTCTCCCTCTCCCCAGCCACCAGACAAAGTTAACTTTCAGATTTATGAATTCATTTACATAAACAGCGAAACATTCAAGGGCGTGGTCAACTTTTCTCTGCCAGAATATTGGTCTGAGTGGCTATAGCAGAAGCCACAAATCATCTTAATCCTTATTCTTCTAGTTCTATTTTAAGAAATATTCTCCTTTGCAAATACATTGGTCATTGTAAGACATTGATGGACAAACAGTTATTATCATTATTTATTAATATAGCTCAATACATATATATATATATATATGTCTTGTCTCATATACAATGCAAGTATCAATGACCATCACCTGGTGGGTATATCACCTGCAGCCGAGAGGATCAATGAAGGATAAATATTCCACAAATGAATTTCAAACTTTCAAACACGGCAAAGTCTACAACATAGGCCTTGAACACTAGCTGGCCTCAGATGACATAAGTAAAGCAAGCATTAGACAATGATTTTGTAAAGCTGTAAGTTTTCAACAGATTGATCCGTTGGAAAACCAGACTGCCTTAAAGAACAAGTCCAGTGGGGTTGGGTTTTTTTTTTTCTCAACTTGCAGCTGCTGAGCGCGACACAGGAAATAACGGGTAACAAAGCGTGAACACATGATGCATAGCCACAATCATTTACAGGCACAAAAGCCACCTCGAGGTCATAAGAAAATTTTTTTTTTTTACACATACAAACTATAGCTGGTCCCTTTTCCCCTCAACACCACAGCAAAAATGATGGACTTCAAGCCTCCACCAACCCTTTTTGATACAGCTCCCCACTCCTTGTTCACCTGTCTATGACAGTCGTAATGCACAGTAGGGTATTTGGAGTGGTTCAACTTGAATCCGACAATTGGAGCAGTTCAACTAGAGTCCGACAATTGGTGCGGTTCAACTTGAGTCCGACATTTGGTGCGGTTCAACTTGAGTCCGACAAAAATAATGAAATAACAGTCCAACCCGCACAAACAGCCACATGTCCAAAGCATTCATCTGTTTAAATGAGCACTTCTCACCCCACCCCTCCTCCCCCCACCACACCACCTTTTTAAAATATTATATTGACACTGTCCAAGATGTCTACCTGTCTAAGACAATCGCTTTTCTCCACTTCAACGGGTGTCCGTCTCTGACAATTCTGAAAATTACTCACAATGTGAGGCATCGTGGTGAAAACAGGCACTCGTAAAAATAATGAAATCCGAGAAATCTGCATATTTCGGCCAGTTTGGTCATTTTTTTGGAATTGTTATTTTTGGCTAAACACCTTTTATGTCCATTCAAAAAAACTTTTATGTGTGGATTTTATAGAAAAACGATTAAAAGCACAACAAATTTAAATTTGCAGTTTCCAAGGACTCTTAAGTTATGGAAGTCAACAAACTTTGGCGGCCATTTCCTCACTAATTTTACTCCTGAAACCAGGCGGCCCCACCTCCTTGAATCGCAAATATCTCGACTTCTATTCAAGATAAATGAACATTTCTTTTCATCGAAAGAAAGGCAAATGAATAACCTTTAAGACGATACTGATAACTCCATATGCCCAAAAATTGACGAGCGCCTGATTCCACCACGTCGTGACACAAATGGTATTTGGCCGTAGACTGTGCAATTCCCTTTGATTTCAAATCACATTTTCTTGGGTCCATGAAAACAAGCATACATAAATTCACACATTTAGAACAAAATCTATTTTATATCACCACAGTACTCTTGTGCACAGCCACGTTCAATAAATCAAAATATCACTGGACCCTAAAGCCAGTCCCTAACTTTTTCCGATCGCAAACAAGTCTGAAATTTTATAACCTGCAACATACTAACTACACAGCCCTGCCAGGACCATAGAAATAGAGCAATAATCACAGAGAAAATACTCCCCCCCCCCCCAAAAGAAATTGCAGATATCTTAAGCCCCCGTTGACACAGATTAGGTCATCTAGGACGCGGGTTGCATCGACACTGCCTGTCAGGGCCAGCCTGGGCGGAGAGGGATACAGCATCCCGACAGAAAGACGGAAATACTCGATACAAATTCTCCCCACGCGGGAATCGAACACGTCTTCTGAGTGAGCCGGCAAAGCACCTAACCTCTACACCAGAGACCCCGGTAATCACAGGGAAAGAAAAGTGAGAAAAAAAACTGCTGAACAATAAATGTACAAGACCACCCGTGGCCTGATTAGTTATTTATTCCAGTCAATACTTGTTGCTTAATTCAAGTCCCCCTACTGCAATAACCTTTCAAAGGTGAGGGAAAAAGGTATGGCTGATACTTTAGAAACAGGTTCTGAAACTGACTGTTTCACGACAATTCTAAACGATTAATCACATCACCTTCCCCCCTCCCCACCCCTCCCCCCATCCAACCCCACTCATCCACGGATTCCATAATTCAAGCACAAACACATGACACTAATGTCTTTATATATCCGTAAAGCTTTGAAGAGTCGTCTCAACGTCGCCCTGACAACCGCCGCGTTACGGGCTTGGCTTGGGCGTGATGTTGAAGGCGGGCCCGAGGCGGAGGAAAAACTTGCGTAGCGTGGACAGAATCTCGTGCTTCATGGGGAACATGATGGTCTCGCACATGAGTGGGTAGTATGCGCTGGCGTGGACACGGAACTGGGGAGGATTTTTTTTTTTTAAACTTGCTTAGTATTTGTAAAAGTTTTACCACACTTGCAACACTAGCAGGTGATATAGATATTTGTTTTAGTAAGTGTTTTACGGCAATTGCAACACCAATAGATCATATAAGTGCTGAAGATTAGAGATGTTACAAGAGAGTAACAAACACAAAAAAGAAGGAGGGGAGATAAAGACAATAGATGTTTCATAGGAAAAAAGAGACAAACCACACAAGAGCACCCGCCATTCAAAACTTGTTCAGTATTTGTTAAAGTTTTACCGCACTTGCAACACAATAAGGTCATGTAAGTGCCGAAGATTAGAGGAGTTGCAAGTGAGTAACAAACACAAAAAAGAAGGAGGGGAGATACAGACAATAGAATGTTTCACAGGAAAGAAGAAGCACCCGCCAACCAAAACTTGTTTAGTATTTGTAAAAGTTTTACCGCACTTGCAACACTAGCAGGTGATATAAGTGCCGAAGATTAGAGGAGGCATTACTGGAGAGTAATGTACAAAGAAAAGGAGGAGAGATAAGGCTGTTAGATGTTCGATAGGAAAGAAGGAGCAGACCAAACCATAGCATCCCCCCACCACCCCTAAGCCTACATGTTTTGAAACTGAAAGTAGATTCGAAAGATAACAGACATATTTCCTCAAGAATAGTTAAAACTGGTAATTAAACTTTATAAAAAAAGGAGTGTACTCAAACAGCAAAGCTGTTCTGGGTGATCTTTTCCACCTCCAGCCAAGCTGTGTCACTTATGTCAGAGATATGCCTCTAGATCTCACTCCCAGGTGGATCTCAGCCTTCCTCTCTTTCTCCTCCTTTGGTGGTTCCACCTTAGACTATTTGATCGCTTTTAAGGACAAGTGGGCGAACCCAGATTTGGGGGGGTTTCCAGAAATCTTGATCGACACCAAAAGTGGACATTGCCCTATCTATAACAGAAATTCGGTTTCATTGGTGCGTAATTTGTTGGGTTATAGAGATAACTCTCCTTGTCTTTTGAAGAAACTGAACAAGGAGCAAAAATTTTACATTCGATTTTTTCAAAACAGCATTTTTCGGGATAGCCCCCTTCTGCTTAAAAGCGACCATTTATCGTCATCTATTATCATCCATAGTGGCGTCGGTGGCCTAATGGTAAGGCTACCAGACTAGTAATCGTGAGACTGCTGGTTCGGGGATTCCAGCGAGAGCTTGGTCCGTCACTGCGTCCTTGGGAAAGGCACTTTACATCAATTTCTCATTTGGCTCGGTCCTTTCGGAGACGGACATTAAAATCAGGAGGTCCCGCCTCTTAAATAACGTAATAGTGTTGATAGGGGGGCGTTAAACCACTACCACAATTTCATTTTTGTACGGCATACTCACTCTGTCATCAGGCATTCTGAGCAGGCGTATGAGCAGCAGCAAGAGCAGACTCCCCCAGGCCTCACGGTGACTGTCAGACTGGAGGCTCAGGAAATACTCCAGGGCTTCTTTGCACACCCTGAGACACACACACAAACACAGAGTAAGTTTTAGTTTAAATAAGGTTTTACAGCGCTTGCAACTGCATAAAGTCATATGAGCGCCAAGGGGTGGATGTCAACAGACAGCTCCAAATGGAAAATCAGGCTTACTCTGCTCACCTCTCTAGCCTCAACAGCACAAAGTCTACTTCGACTATCAAGGGATCCCGGAAATAGCAGTTCACAAGAGAGTGACAAATATACAAAAGAAGTAGAGGAAAATGACGATAGTAAGGATGAGGAAAGAAAAAGTAGCAGATCCCCCTATGTTGTTTCGACACAGTATGAGCATGACATTGATAAGTGAGCCCATTTACAATTCTACTGTGCATACGAACATGTAAATATCGCCCTTTTGGAATGGCCTAAAGACACTTCAATCAGTGGCATTGCCTGGGGGGG